GGGGGTGGGGCCTTAGGTGGGGGTGGGGCCTTGGATCTAAGTGGAGAAGAGAATTTTTTACCATCTGCTTGTTATCTTCCCTGTGCTCTGGGGCTGGGCAGGAACAGGTTTTGAGTGAAGTCCCCTGCCCTGCCCTTTGCAGGGTGCGGCTGCCTTCTCTGTCCCCCCTGTGAGAAGAGAAGGGTTCTAATTTAGCTGCTTTTCGCTCTTACACCATCTGCTGCCTTCGTCTCTCTGTAGACTGTAGACTTTTGCAGATGAGTCAGTGTGGAAAGCGGGATGTTTCTGGTCAAAGCAATGGCAGCTGCGGGAGGCATGATGTGTGTGGCAGATGCCCCTTGCCGGGTGTCTATTTCTGATCATCCCTCGTAGTCCGGAGCCAGGACTGAGCTGTGGGCCATCTGTCCTTGGAAACACTTCTCTTTCTTGCCGGCCTAACTGCTGGTACTTAGGTCCTTCTCTGGTCTCCTTATGCGGTGCATCAAGCCAAGGCCTCATGAGGTGAGCTTGGTTTTCTGTCTTACCTCAGGAGATTGCCAGCCCCATGCTCAATCTCGAGGCAGTATCTTCCCCAGGGACCTGGCGTTATTTAAAATCACCTGGAGCTGCTGGTGCACTCTGGGTCAGAATCCACTGACTTAGGAGACAGCAAATCCAGCCAGGGATTAGGCTTAGGGTGCCTTACCTTGGCCAGGTTGGTTGATGACGAGGTAAGCCACTTAATCCCTCCACCTTTGAGTTCGCATCCTTTGGTGAAAGGAAGTTGGAGGAGTACTTTTGAGGGGGTTTAGGTCTGTGTTGCTTGTACCATGGCAAGAAAGGGATGCTAAGAACACCAAAAAAGATTCTAGTAGATTGGGGAGGATGGTTGTCCCCAGAAAGGTTGGATGACTGGCCCCATGGGCTGGGAAGTATTTGAAAGCTCCAGGCTTTGAGTTCAAGTTCTAGTGCACTCTTTGACTGCATGGAGGATCCCCCAGCGCGTCAGTCCCTAAACACACACTCAGAATTTTGGTTAACAGTTTACATTGAGTTTCCACTTAAGTGTGTGTGTGTGTGTGTGTGTGTGCGCGTGCGCGCGCGTGCGTGCGCGTGCATATTCATGTGGGTGCATGTGTGCATGGATGCTTGTGAATGTGTATGCGCATGCCTGTGGAGACATCAACTGTGGTTGTCAGCCTTCAGGGTCCATCCACCCTGTTTTTTGAGACAGGGTGGTTCATTGGCTCAGGACTTACAAAAGTAGTCTAGGCTGGCTGGCCAGTGAGCGACCCAGTGCTGGGGCGACAGGAATGTGGCACCATGCCCAGTGTTCGTTGGATTTAAGGCTCCAACTCAGGGCCTCATGCTTGTACAACCACAAATACCTTAAGGAGTGATTTCCCTACCCACTAGGAGGCAGTGGGGGTGTGGTCTTGACAGCTTCTCCACCTGGGAAGCAGAGACCCAGCAAGAAGCCCAGAGTCTTGAATCTTGGCTTAATTTCTTGCTGGCGCCTGCTCCTCAGACATAGCCTTCCCAGAGGACCAGGAGAGCCCGGCTTTCTTGCAGGTTGCCCATCGCAGGGTGGCGGCCTGGAAGAGTTGCTCAGAACCAGCTTTCGGCTGGAGCCTGGGAAGGGATGTGATCCACTAGCTTTTTTTCTTTTTCTTTTTTTTCTTTTTCTTTCAAGTTCCTCTGCTGGTATGTAGTGACTCACTGGAGAACTGGGTTTTGGTGTGCTAGGTAACTCACGATGCAGTTTCTCTTCCCAGGGCGTGAAAGCCCATCTCTGTAGTTTCTACCAGGAAGGAGCTGTCTAGGACCCAGGACCCCCAACAGCCTAGTGCACCCTTGCCTGTCCCTTAATTGTTGAAGACAAGGGAAATCTAGACAGCCTGGTGAGGTGCAGACCACACCGGGACAGAAGAATGTGAATTCCATGTGTTTTGTAGGGAAGTTGACCCTTCTATACCATCCCCAGTCCCTAGGACCTACTGAGCAAGACTTCAGCTAGCTCTGGAGAGAATGACTTCTTATATTCTATTACACTTACATTCTTGGAAATTTTGTTTTCCACTAGCAAATCCCCTCTGGCTAGGGATCGCAAAGAATTGGCATGTGTGGGCTGGCTCAAAAGAGCTAGCCAGTCTGTCACCTCCACCTGTCTGGCCTCAACAGCTGGTTCTCCAGCCCTTTGGCAAACACTGACTGTTGCCAGGCAACCTGCATCTGGGTCAGTCTTAGTCCTTGGTATGACAATTGCTTCCCATTGCCACTGCCCTCCACAGTAGCAGTCCAAATGTTAGGTCCTGGCAGGTGAGGAGGACAAGTCAGTTTCTCCAGGGCTTTGGGGAAGTGTTAATTCAAGTCATGTGCCTAAATGAGGTAGGGTCGGGCTGTGTGCCTGGGAGAGCCTGGGGAGCAGAGAATAAGGCAAACACTTCCCCCAGGAAGCTGGGTTCTGAGCAGCGCAGAGGTCAGCAGCAGTACATCTGTATCCTATGAAAGTGGCTTAGCCGTGACCACGACGAGCCATGAGTTCACTGATGACCTAGGCTCACCCCAGGCCACTCCTATCCCTCAAGGGCAGATCCAGGCCTACTGTGGCCCTGTACCGTTGGGGCTTCTCACCATGTCCTCTGCCATGTTTCACTGGAGCTAGACTTAATGTGTAAACAGCACATCCCCATGGAATGCCATGCATTCGCCATATCCACAAATTCCAATTACCTTTATGTAAATGTTTGTTTTAATTTGGGGGGGGTATTTTAGCTGGCAACAAAAACTTCAAGTGTATATGTCAAGCTACCCCTGGATAATAGCAGATTGCCTCTCCTCCCCAGCTGCCATGCTGACCCCAAGCCTGGTCATCACAGATTGCAAACGACAGAGGCTTGCTGGGTTAAAACTGTCCTCGCTAGGACAGGGTGGGGTTTGGCTGTCCTGTGACATGACCTCCTCTCTACAAGTCTGCATTTTACTCTTAAGCTTTATGAGAAATGTGAGGAAGGATTTAGGCTGACAAGTTCTGTGGGCTCTAAGAGAGAATTCTGGTGTGTGTTGGTTTGGTTTTCAGTGTTTGCACTTGCCTTAGCATGGGTGGGTAAGAGGTGCAGAGCCAAAGGACAATGGAGAGGACAGTGGTGGGTCCAGAGGTTTCCCCAAAGCTGTGGATGGGCAGCCGATGAGAAGGAGCTTCAGATCTCTGTGGCTGTGGCTTCCTGAGATGAACTGTCTTTCTCCTGCATCCTGATTGACTGTGGACCGCTAGGGCATGGCTCTATCCTGGGGGCTGTGTGAAGAAGAGGCGCCTCCCAGAAGGAAGGGAAACCGGATCCCAGATTAGGGCTAGCAAGAGCTGAACAGCTTTGACAGGCTGGGAGTCAGAATCCCGAAGTCCAGTCGAGGCTTGCCAGGGCTGGGAGGCTTCCTGTTCCCCACTCTCCGATTCCCCTCCCATCCATCTGCTTAGGGTCTTGGCTTCTCCCTGCAGCCAGTGGGGCTGATGAGTGTGGGAATGGGCCTGGGCTCCAGCTCCCAAAGTGAAGCAGACAGGGTTTCGTGTGATTTCTGCCAGCCCATACAACAGGAGCTGGGGAGACTTTATTCATTTCGGGGAGGAAAGCGAGAAAAGAATGAGACCAAGTGTGCAGTCAAAGGCAGGGCTAATACTGATATGAAGACAGGGATAACGACATCCACGACAACACAGCAGTCGGACAAAGCACAGGGGCGGGACGGTCCATCATCGCTGGCCCAGGGGTCGACCGTATCCAGACTTCTTTTTAGACTTAAATTAACAAGGAGGCTTGGCACCTCGAAGCACCAAGCTGGAGTGAGAGAGAGAGGATCCTAGCAAAGGACTTGCAGTTAGCACTGTGGCAGCCCCACCTGCCTGGAGATGCTGGCGGGAGGCTGTGGTGCCTGGCAGGGTTAATCCTCAGCTCCCGCCTGCTCCTTCTAGAATATCCTTGCCTTTGAACACCTCTAGCTTATTGGTCCCCACCCGCACATCCTTGCACTCCAAACACCAGGGTGGGGCCGGGATGTGTTACGCCAGAATTCATCCCAGGCAGGAAAGCCAGGTGTCTATGTACACAGGCCTCAGGGCATTACACAGCTATCATTAGACCTAGTCCCCCGAGCCAGGAAGTCATCCCAGCTGGAAGGGGTTGGGGCATCACCTGACAGACAGAAAGGACTAGACATCAGCCACGGTCAGTTTTCTGAGTCTGCTCCTCAGTACCCGGTCTCTCGGCTTCATCATCGAGTCTGGGGCCAGGAGGCCGCTGCTCTGCCCACTTGGCCATGCCCGCTAAGGATGGGTGGTTGGCATGAGGGATCAGGGGAGCATGGGAACGTGAGGCTATGGAGGGAAAGGACTGGCAGGTTGCTGGGTGGAGAGGAAGGTTCTCTGAAGCCAGCTTCCCAGTATTCTGACCCAACACCCAGCACAGGGGACCTCTGCCCTAGGCCGCCTCCACCAAGGGACTTCCTCTGACCTCACCTTGACCCTGCCTCAGCCAAGGGTGGGCCAGAGAAGCTGAAAGGCAGGCCTGAGTCAAGAGGTCTGGAGTCACACCTGCCAGGTCCCCTTCCCTCATAGGAAGGGAGATGAAGTGATGCCATGATGGTGACTAAGGCCCCAAAGTCCCTGCCTCTGCCTCCCTCCCCAGAAACCATACAGCCAGGCCAGCCCCAGGAAGCACAGCCTGTGTAAAGGGCCCCAGGCGGGGAGGATGGCTTGCTACATATGAGAAAGAGAGTAAAAAATAAAAAGCACCACTGTGGCCTGTGACAGGCTCCACAGGCCGGAAGTCCTCAGCTCCGGAGAGGTCAACAGCAGGGGAGTCACAGCTGGCCATGAGCTGTTCTCCCACACCCTGAACAAGTCAATGCTCCACCTGCTTCCTCCTCTCCTGGACCTCAGAGGAAGGAACCGGGGCTCAGAGCGACAGTCCCAAGGCTGTGGGACCTGGCGCTGTTCTCTAAACATACTCGACTCCGGCTGCCCTCACACCCCTTTCTCCCATATTCTGTCCCGTCTTGAAGTTCCCAGAGACATAGAGGGCTGCGGATAAGCAGCCACATTCAGATCCAGAAAAGATCTTGTTCGGCCCTGTACCTCTCAAGGTGGGCATGGGAATATGGGGATCACTATCCCTGCTCCCCGAACTCTGAGGTGGATCAAAGAGTGTCACGCTCTTCTTGGGGCTCCAGCCATGGGTCTGCACTTCCCAGGGACCCTCTGACCCCAGGAGGAACCAGGTAAGACCAGGGAGGGACTAAGTAGCTGGCCTCCCATGGTGCCTGTGCTGGGTCCCATGAGCCTGGCTCTGGGGCCTAGGAACTGCTGGTGTGATGGGCAGCCAGCCTCGGTGTGACACCTGTGGCCAGAAGAGACATTGCTCCTCTTCCTCCCCCTCCCCTCTTTACTTCCGGCCACTGTCCATTTCCGGGCAGGCAAGAGCTCTTCCATTCTATCCCACTGTACCCCCTCTGGTGACCAGCAAGTACACACATGGTCTCTGTAGGACGGGGTAAGGGGGATGACACAGGAAGTGGGCCCTTTCTGCTTCCGGGAACCTGAAAACCGTCACATTTCCACCCACAGCACCCCAGGAGTCTCCCCACAACCGGCCCAAGCTCTCCACCCCAGAGGCTGCAGGCTGGTCCTCTCTCTCACCTACAGCGACAATTTCTTGAACTGATGGTTAAACTTTTAAAAATTACAATTCATGTTCTAATTCAGAGTCCTGGCTTAAAAAGCAAAACAAACAAACAAACAAAAAGCAAAACAAGCCCCCCACCCCGCCCCCACCCCCAAACTACCTCTTAGGGTCTGCACTGTGGGAACGGTAGAATGTAGCAGCCCACTTTAATGGGACATGGTCTTCCCCGGACACAGTCCCCACCCAGCACTCTTCCTCGTTATCTGTTGGCCCTGTGGGCATCTGAGTTCCTACTTCCCTTGCTCTTTTCCAAGCCCTCAACCCTCTGGCGACATATGGCACCTGCCAAGGCTGCCTCTGCCTCTCAGGAAAGCACCCCCTTCACGGTCACCTCATCCTATATCCCATCACTTACAGCCACCAGCAACCTGACCGATCGGTACTGTCCATGCTGCAAGGGGACTCAGCCCCCGCACAGCCCCATCCCGAACTGCCCCCCACACGTCGCACTTACACGCTCCCAACTCCGGGGCTGTCTCTCCTCCCCCAGCCCTGACAGCCCCTTTCCACAGCCACACTTTCCAGATCAGGGATCTCTTGCCTGAGGGCTGGGAGATGGACGGCTCCTCCTGCCCAGCCTCCTCCCTGCCAGTGCCCCAAGGAACTGCTAAAGTTGGCTGCCACCCCAAGCCTAAATGGGCAGCTAAGGCAGGCAAGGCAGGGCTGGAATATAGGCATCCTGGTCTGGCCTTGTTTCCCCAGCAAGGGCTGAGACTCTGAGAAGTCGGGGAGAAGAACCCACTCACACAACGAGAGGGCCCTACGCAACTACCCAAAGCCCAGCCAGTTTCTCAAGGTCATGGTGTCCCCAGTGCAATTCTGGACTCTACAAAGTCCAGCCCTTCTGCACGAAGTCCCTGGGATGCAGCAGTAGTCAAGACCAGACTGAACCAGCATATGGGTTGGGGCCCAGGAACTCTCCCCTGCAACGGGCCTCTCCCCGTTCGCCTATAGCCTAATCCCACGCTGGCTATGGTGACAATATGTATGTGCATGTATTGGGGGGGGGGACACAGTGCTGTGTAAAGAGTCACACTGACCTGACCTAAGGGCTCTCCTGTGCCACAGGCTTCCACCTTAGGCAGATATGGCCTCTGCCAAGTTCCTGATTTGAGGAATAAGTGGAGCTTTCTCAGGGGGACCTCTACCCTGTTCCCTTTCCCTGGATCATGATTCTCCATCCCTACCCCACCCCACCCTCACCGCACAGGATGGCGAGGCCCACCCAACCCCGATCACTGCTGGAAGAAGGAGCCCACAGAACCAGCAAGCGCCCCCCCCCCTCCGCCCCAAGCCACACAGTGCTCAGAGAGAACAAGCCTTCTCAGCTACCAGCAGATCCACGTGTCTTTCCCTCCAAACACCTTCACCTTCAGTTGTGGGGCTAAAATGCCAAATAAAATATAACTGCTTCTTGGCCCAGTTAGGGGCTTGGCTCTGTTGGGAGGGGAAGTCACTTGGGACTGACCCGCAAGGCATCCTTCCTGCCTCCCAGCTCCCAGCCCCTGTCTGAACCAAGTAGATTCTTTCGTTCATGTGGGTCAGGGCCTCCAGAAGCAGAGGAGGCCTGGGGGTGCTGGCATCTGCCTCACACCCGGATCTGGTACCCATTGAGGTCTGGCATGGCTTTGGGCTCTGCAGGCTTCTTCTCTCCTGAAGGCCTGCGGGGAAAACAGAAAGCGCAGAAGAGGAGTGAGTGGTTACTAGGGAGATGGAAAAAGGGAGGAGGAAGGGATGGATGGAGGGATGGAGGAAGGGAGGGAGGGAGGGCTGCCCAGTTGGCTTCCCTCCTCTAAGGGGTCTTTAGGACAGCAGCAGAGGGTATGGGGAGTGTTTCTGGAACCGTAGTCGGCCAGCCTGGGGTGTCCTAGATGGTCTCTTGTCACCCAGCCTCTCGCTCTTTGATGGCCGTTACTAGACCCACACCGTTTCTGGGTAACAGCTTCAAGAACAGCCCAGAATCGGTTCCCTACAAAAGCCGCCTAGATCAAAGTCAGGGTGACGGGTATTTTAGCACCGCTGGAGGTCTGCTCAGCGCCCCTCACTCACGTCACAGCAGACAGGTGGCTCCAGGAGGTCAATTACACTTAAAGCAAGAGCCTGAATGACATGTGGGAGAGGAAATCAGGGAGAGAGGCCTGGTATTTAAATAGCAAATCTTGCCATTTGGACACAGAGAGAAACCCAGACCCCAGCGGGCAGAGGTTGTGTTCAAAGCCTTCTCTCCTGGTTGCATACGCAGCAGCCTTGGGGCAGAGACGGAGTCCCCGCAACAAACTGCAGAAGGGCCCAGGGCCTTGTGGGAGCCCCATGGGGTCCACCCTCCCTCCTCAGTCCATTCTGCTGCCTACTTCAGTCAGACCTCTGGCCGGGCACAGGGTAACCAGAGACAGCCGAGGGGTGTCTCCTTCGGGGAAATGGCCCCGCATTGCCGTAGGCAATGTCTGCACACAGACACACGGACCCATCATCCCAAGCGGTTCCTCAAAGAGAAATGGATGGGAAGGAGAAAAGAGGAGTGAAGAGGGACCAGGAAGACGAGAGGAAAGGCTTGCATCGGGGCTCCCTTCTCACCGTCTCTCGCTGCGGCTGTTCCTGCGGTGGGGGCTGGACTGGGCCCTCTGTGGGGAGGAAACATCCTTCTTCCGGTCCTTGGTGGGGGAGGGAGGGCCTGTCCCCTTGCCAATCTGGATGGGGAGGAAGAAACAGGAGTATGTTCTGGGCTGCCCCATGGGCCACTCCGCTCTGCCAGGGGCCGCAGTCCCTGGAAGCCAGGCACCGTGCGCTCCAAGCCTCAGGTGGCCTTTGCCTTGTCTCTGGGTCATCCCTTAAACCATCAGGGCAGTAGATCCTTGGTAGGGCTGTCTGCTCCTTGGGGGTTCTGAAACATAGTGCAGGAGCTGTCTGTCACAGGGCTGGCAAACACCTTTGAAGAAAGGCCTCTTTACCCAGGCCAGGCAAGTGTGCCAGATGGGGATATGGGAACCGCTCTGGGACAGGTCCTACCAGCCCAACAGCGACAGTGACAGTGACTATCTCAGGCCAATCAGGTGTCAGACTGGTAACCGACAAAAACCAAAAAACAAAAAAGAACAAAAACCAAATCAACAAAAACAGACAAACAAACAAACAAAAAAACCCCAAACCCAAATCATCTTTTATGAAGTGTGGTCAGCCTGCTTTGAGTTTTCTTCATTTCCACGGGCTGAAAAAGCATCAGCATCTCAGCAGGCTGAGAATCAAAAGCTCAAGAAGGGACCTATAGGCTCCATTTCTATCTACGCCTTGTTGCCTTGAAAACACTGAACCTCGGGGTGTAGGGCCACCTGGAGAAAAGTGTGGCCCTGGCACTCTATGGCAGCATGTACCTCGGGGGAGGGCACTGTTAACCGCAGGGGTCTGGAGGAGCAGGTCACAGTGCGGTAGAGCTGCGTGATAGAAAGGAGAGCGCCCTGGCAGGCCCTAGGAAAGGTATCTCCGGTCCAGGGAGACTGAGGGCGGGCGCCCTCCCCAATCTTATCTGCTAGAAGGCTATCAGGAGTCAGGATGGACGGGGGAGGCGGGGCTCTTCACTACCTTATCCTGCCACATTCTCAGACAGACCAGGTGTCTGCTTCTTCCATGCAAAGCACCCAGGCCTGGAGCACCATGTCCCTGTCCTTCACATGTCCAAGATCTATGACTGTGTAAACCCAGCTCACTCCCTTTCCTCCTTCTAGAGCAGAGTTCCTTGGTTTGCCCACCAAAGGTTCGAGTCCAACAACAGGTCTCTTTTAACTAATGCCCGATCCTGAGTCCAAGTAGATACTTCATCCTCAGGCAACCCCTACTGGCCAGGGCAAGCCGGTAAAGGCACGGAGGGGATCCTCTGAGGAAGCTGCAGTTGACGCTGGCCCTGGGGAGCACTACCGATTCTAACCTTGAGACGCATGTCTCGGGCATGACGCTCCAGCTCCTTGCGGAAGTCTTCCCGGCCCAGCCTCTCCACGTCCAGCACTGAGTGCTTCCACTCAATCTGCTCCACACTGTGGGGGTCGTGGGACACACACTGGCCCAGCTTCACCTTCTTCAGCACATGCCAGCAGCGCCCGTAGGCCGCCTCGTAGTCCAGCACAAGCTCGCTGAGGGTGCGGAAGGCTGGAGGTTTATACATCAGGTCCTCCCTCCGGCTCATGCCCAGGGCTCCGTAGCGGCCCCCAAAGTTCACCCCCAGCACAATGTGGCGGAAGTAGTTCCCTGAGAAATAGGTCTTGAAGCTGATGGGGAAGCGTTCCAGGGTGGGCATGCTGTTGGTGAGGTAACTAGTGAATCAATGAGTTGAGGAAAGGGCCAGGGGAGTCAGGGTGGTATACGTGTGCCCAAGAGCCCCTAAAAGCGATCTTCTGAAGCCCGACAAACTGGTCACAAATACCCGTCTCCCTCCGCAGCCCTAAATGGGGTCCCTGCACAGGGCTGCTTCTCCTGGGGGGGCTGTCGGTCTCCCTAGGTGCTCCTCTGCCCTTGGAGGCTTGGCTGAGAAACGCTATGCGTCTTTTGTAGGCAGCTCTGCTTCCAAGACCCCATCTGTCTTCTCTGTAAGTCATCACTATCTGGATGTGCCAACGCTGGGCCTCCACGCTGCTTCTCCCAGACTTAGAAATGGTACGACAGCCAGGGTACAACTCCGAAAACAGAGTCACCTTGTCCAAGGGACTCAAAAAAACAAGCACTCAGAGGCCCTGAGACAAAGTCCTCCCCAAGGACCCTCCCTTCTGCAGAGACTCCTCCACCTCGGGAGGTGCTCCGCGCTGGGTGCCAGGAGATGCTAGCGCAGCAGGGACCCCAGAAGCCCTTAGGACCCTCCCATTCCACAGCGTGCAGCCAAGGGTGGGCCACTCCAAGCCAGAGGAAGGATACATTCCCAGGATCACAGCTTCCAGGCATTTGATTGGCAGAGCCTCTTTGGTCATTTCCTTGGCCAGGTCCATCAGCCTATGGGAGAGGGAGGCGGAGCTGCGTGGAGACTGTCTCCAGCCCCTCAGGCCCTATTTGGTGGTGAGCCAGAGAGACTTGGGCAGAGACTTCCCTCCAAGCCGCTGCCCCCCCCCCCCTCCAGGCCTGGTGTTTCCTCGCCGGCCCCTTCCCTACCCCCACCCCCTGCCCCAAGTCTAGAGTCTCTGAGGGGATGAGGAGGCAGTCCCCGGAGCTCAGGAAATAGGTCCACTCTCTCCGCCCTTCCCTCCATTCACTTTTTCCTCCCTCCCTGGCCCGGCTCCGGCTCTGCTCAAAGACTTCTGGGGGAGGGGGGCATGAATGGCGCAGGACCCGAGGCGCCCATGCCTTCTCCGGGGCAGTGGGGCTGGGGGAGGGGAGAAGCTTAGCATTGACGGTGTCCCTTCCTGAGCACAGCGAACACTCCTCATGGAACCACAGCTGGGAAGTACTCTGCAGCCTGGATGCAGGAGCTCAGGAAGACAGCTGTCCCGACTCTCTTGCCTGCCCCTGACCTTGGAATTTAAGCCCTTCCTTCCTCCCCCCCCCCTTTTTTTTCTTTTTTCTTTTTCTGAAGACAGGGTTTCTCTGTGTATCCCTGACTGTCCTGAAACTCACTCTGTCCTCAAACTCACACTGTCCTCAAACTCAGAGAGCCACCTGCCTCTGCCTCCCAAGTGCTGGGATTAAAGGCGTGCACCACCACCGCCTGGCAAAAATTAGGCCATTTCAAAACAGTTTATCCTCGAGGTCTGGGGACTCAGCTTGGCCACTGGCTATGCCTGGGACTCTTGAACCCTATGGGAGGATGGATACCTACAGCTACAGCAGCCACTGAAGGACAAGAGCAAAGCCCGGGATCAGAGGAGGTGGGTTTGACTCCAGGGTTTCGAGACGGGGCCGTTAGTTAAATAAATAAGCAACTCAGGGCATATCCCACCACCACCCACGCACAATTAGGTAAATAAGCAACTTAAAACTGCCTAGGACCAGAGATCCAGTCCGAGTCTGCATGCTGAGTCATGATGGGCTAGGGAGTGAGAGAAGCAGTTTTCTTTCTTGTGGGATCTGATGCTTAGACACCGGACTTTCTACTTCATGACCAGACAAACTGGGTTAAGTATACAGGTACCCCGTAATGCAGAGTGCGTGGGATGCTTCTAGGAAAGGGACGGGAAAAGGCTCTTCCCTGCTATCTCCTCCCCCCACCCCACCCCGCCCAACAGGACCTATGGACCCGAAACCGGCAAGCTGGGAAGGAGGGCGACCCTATCAGCTCAGTTGAACTTCCCTTTCTTCAGCCCGGGGTGGCCATCTATCTCACCGGAATTTCCTTCCCCGGGGTTAGCGCCCTTCCCCCATCCTGTGGCTGCCCGGCTTTCCTCAGGAAAGTCCCCGCCCACCCTCTTAAGCTGTCACTCTAGGGCCAAGCACCGAGGTTCCCTAGTGGGATCGAATCCAGTGGCAGGTGGGGACACCCTGGGAGCCCGGGGCAGAGGCCTGGCACTTACCCTGTCAGAGGTCTGCTCTTCTTAATTTCAAAGAACTGTGTCCCTGTGTGATTGTACCTGGGGACAGTGGTTAAGGGCTTCCGGGCTGCGTCGACCCCTTGGCTGCCCTCCCAGACCCTAGGATGGACCCTGGCCACAAAGCACCATGCGGGATGCTTAGGACTTGTTCTCTGGGGGAGAGGAGGCAGGGTGCAGCGTGGGGATTCTCTCCCCACCATCTCCCCCGTTCTCTCCTGGCCCCCTGTCTCAGGACAGGACACGGATCGGGCAGCCACCCCAGGCAGGGCTGAGAACACGGCCTTAGCTGGGGACAAGCTCCTAGCAGGTGCTGGGTCTTTCCAAACAGCTACGAAGGCCGGAGGGGCCACCACCTCCCCTGTGCCAGGTAGTTTTATGTCCGCTTCACACACGCTAGAGTCATTCGGGAAGGGGGAACGTCAATTGAGAAAATGGCCCCAGCAGACTGGCCTGTGGGTATGCCGGCGGTGAAGTCTGCTAAGGAGTGATTGATGTGGCTGGGGGGCCCAGCCCATTGTGTGTGGTGCAACCCCCTGGGCTTGGTGGTCCTGGGTTCAGGGGCCCAGAGCAGAGGCATAAGGCAGCTGGCCTGCTGCCAGGGAAGAAAAATGCCAAGAATTAGGAGAAAACTTCAAGGTATGGATGGTATATCCATATCACCTTGGCTGGGGCAGGATGAATGATAGCTGACGCCCCCTTTTTCTCATCAAGATACTTAGGAGCCCCCTTCTCTCCCTACAGGGGCACATGCGCATGCACGCACGCCGTGCGCGCCTGCGCGCGCGCGGCATGGGGAAGCTGATGCTGGAGAAGCTGGAGCAGGTCCCACACTCAGACACAACCCTTGGCAGCTCCAGGGAACAGAGATGCCGATGCATGGCGGCTCTGGAGTTGGGAGGGAGGGAGCTGGCCCTGCGGATCCCTCTCCGCGCCCCGCTTGGCTTTTGGGGCTCTCGCTAAGTGGTGGCCACCACTCTGGCCCCAAGAGGATACTGCAGCTCCCTGATGTAGCGCTGCACGGCTTCCAGGCGCTCAGGGACGGGCGTCGTCGGCTGGAAAGTAGGCACACTTGGTATGGGAATCTAGGGACAGATGGAGAAAAAAAGCTGTCACATGGATAGCACACCCTGGAGCTTCCAGACACCCCTCCCCCACCCCCCCCCAGAGCAATACCCAGGAGAGAGGCTCCTTCTCTGAGCTGCTTTCCCTGAGATCCCTTCTTTCCCAAGCCTCCTCCCAGACCCCCAGCTCAGCCATCCCCGATACCTGACTGTACTTCTAACATGGAGCTTACGTTGACTTTGCAATTTTATTTATTTATTTTTTAATTTATTTATTATGTATACAGTGTTCTGCCTGCAGGCCAGAAGAGGGCGCCAGATCTCATTACAGATGGTTGTGAGCCACCATGTGGTTGCTGGGAATTGAACTCAGGACCTCTGGAAGAACAACCAGTGCTCTTAACCGCTGAGTCATCTCTCCAGCCCTGACCTTGCAATTTTATGCTGTTAAATAATTTTAGATCCAAGAGGATCCACAGACTATATTAAATTTAAAATGCATTCATTAATACTTAACAAGAATGTCCATACTGGGATTAATTTGTTTAGGTTTGGGGGTTCACTCTGTTCTATGGCTTGGATGTGGCAAAGGTGTTAGACCCTTTGTCCCTGGGTAGTTTCTAGACAAAGGTATTAGGGCACTGGAGGCACACCCCTGGAAAGGCAGAAGGCAGTTCTCAGGGTTGTCATCGAAGGGCAAAACCAGCTCCCCCTTCCTGTGGCTTCTTCCTTCTAGCACGATCTACCTCCTCATGCTCCTGTCGTGGTGCCATCCACGGCCATTAGACCTGACCACAGGCTGAACCAACCCAGGTCCCTCCAGTCCCCAAGGCTGCAAGCTAAATAAACCTCATGTCTTCCTAAGTGTCCTGCTTCCGCTATTTCATTATAGCAATGAAAAACAGACCAATACGCTCTGGCTCAAGCGCCAGATTAAAACTGGCTTTCTCAGTGTTCCGTTCTACCAGGTGGTACCTTCAGCTAAGGGACCCATCCTAGACAGGTGGATATAACCTCACTCAGCAAGGGCTGTCACCAATCTCCAAGGCAGGGCAGGTGTGCCAGGGCTTCCAAAGCACCAACCGGCACTGTCAAGGAGTGTGGCAGGTGGGCATTGTGAGGGGGAACATAGTGTGGGGGCAGATCTTGCTTCCAAACACGCTTTCCCCACCCACTCCACATCTAAGTGGTATGTTCCTCTCGTTTCCCAGTAGGTGGCCATTGGACCCTCCAAGGCCACACAGAGCTTGCCCATGGCCACCTTGCTGCAAATGTAGGGTGGGAATAAAAGGAAGGAGTATCAGGAGTCCTAAGTACACTCAGGGTGGGGCGGTATGGCGGAGGAAAGGCTCATCCTCGGTAGGCGGTCCAGTGATGGAGAGGCTGGGCTCACGGACACACTGTAGTTGCTGTGTCTGGGCTCTGTCGGGAAGGGAAGTGACACACTAGTTATCACCACACGCTTGTCTCTGGGGCGCTTCTGGTGGTGGGAGACGAGGACTGTGTCTCTAGCAGATACTGCTCCGCTCCATAGGGCGGAGCCGCAGGAAGGAAGGGCCCTGGCTCAGAGAGACAGTCTAGCATGCCTTTCTTCCCTCTTCTTTCCCCGGGGTCCTTTGCTTCCTGTCTAGGCAGTCTCTAGCAGCAGATGCCACAGTTGGGGAAGTTACTTCCTCTTTCACATCACTTCCATCTTCCAACTGGTACTATCACTTACAGGCACCTGCAGGAGCCAAGCTCAGGATGGGCCCTGCCTTCTCTTGTCTGATCACAAATGCACCCTAGAACTGTCCAGCGGGCAAGCTGCCCATCCTGGTTGAGGGCATGGGGGTGGGGAGCTAGGACAGAAATAGCTTAGTAAACCTCTATAAGTAATACTGCATATCCACCCACGTCGCCTGACCTCAGTGCAGCAAAATCACCCTTGCTAAGCCTTGCTAAGGTTCCAAGAACTGGAGCTGTATAACTGAACCACCTGCCCGTGAGCCACTCTGGACAGGGAGGGAGCCATAGAAGGACAAATGGCCAAAGCTCAGGCAGAGAGATTTGGGGACAGGCTCAAGCCAGGATCAGGTGGTACCCACAAAAGCATCATGGGCACCTGCCTCACAAAGGACCAGTTGATAAGGCTGCTGTGCAAGAAAGGTCAAAAAAAAAAATGACCTAGGATCCTAAGCATGGTCTTAGAGACCACCTTACCAGGGAACCAGACAGCCCAGGGTTCTAGGATAATCCTACTGGAAGAGTCCCTCAGCCCAGCACAACGAGGAGGCTTAGAGGAGGTGGGAGAGCCTGTGGCTTGACTCGGAGGTGAGTCGGGAAGACTTAGTGATGGACAGAAGGCCTTCAAAATGCCTCATTGGTGAATGTACCTCACTTTCTGAAAGTGCAGAACAGAACCTGCCTGGGAACATCACTGAGCGCTTACAAGCAGACACCTCAGAATACTGCCCAACACCTGGTTACCAATGCGTGCCAAAGACTGTCCAGCACACACTTCCCTGGACCATCTGGCCCTCTAGAGATGTCTGGATTCCCATCTGCAGGTGCTCAGCGGTCAAAGCCACAGCTAGGTCTTCAGCTGGGTTTGGGTAAGTGGCTGCTGGGCTTTCAAAGGGGATGACAGCTGGAGACAGTTAGGAGAGATTCTCATGAAGGAGCGGAGCCTGCCGCTGGCTTCTGGATCCTTCTAGAAACTGTTATGCTTGGCATCGCTCTTGCAGAGGCTGCAAGTGCTTGCGGCTTGTGGCATGCCCACTCTGTGCACCCTCAGATGCTCGCCTAATGACGCGCTACACGCTTTCCATCAGCAGCTCATCTCAGCATCCCCGTGAAGTGGGTATTGCCGCTGGTCCACTGACAGCTGGGGATGCTGAGGGGCTAGGATGTTGCATGCCTTCCTCTCACAAGGACGGGAAAACACGTGGCTGCCCTGCAGAGTACTGCCTTTTACCACACCACCCTGCTGCTGTGGCTCCAGCTCCTTGCAGAGGCTTAGCCTTTAAAACTCGGGGAAGGCAGGTGGGGGCATGGGGAGCTGTAGCCAAATGAGGGAGCAAAAAACACCCCCCAGCCCCTCCTGCCGGCTGCCATAAACTCGCTGTTCCCATATCTCTTCCCTTCCGGTAAAGATGCCAAAAGTTACGGATCATTATGTGAGAAATCTCCCAAGGTTCATGTTTGCCTCAAGTGGTCCGTTAAGACATCGTGTGTCCTAAGAAACTGTTCCCGGGGCCTATCGTGGGCAGTATGACCTCTGAAGCAGGCCACCAGGGAAGGGACAGGCCAGGCTCAGGCCTTTCTGCAGCTCACAGTCTGGCACTCAATATTGCTGCTTTTCTCCGTGGCCGCTTGGGCTCCTCCACATCCCCTGGACCCTAAGGGTTCCCTGGGCCAAGTTTACAGTGGAACTTCAGGCTTCTCCACTTCCTCAATCTGAGACATTTCCCCAGTGGCTGAAAGATGAGAAGCTCGACATTCTCTCCATCTTCCTAGGCTCCTGCATCCATACTTTCCTCTCTACCAAACAGCTCCATCCTTTCAAACACGTCCTTCCTTCCTGAACACGAGGCCTGAAGATGACCATACTGACCAATCGCTATTGACCATACTGACCATATTGACCATAATGACCATACTGACCAATCGCTATTGAAGACATTGATGGTTTGAGTCCTCCAAAGCAGTGACCATTCTGCCGCTCTCCTATGGTCCGATTCAGACAGAACCACGGGGACCGGGTACTGTGGGGCATGTGTGTAGTGGTGGCCTCATCAGCCAGATACACTGGGTGGCATCTCGTCTCCCTCCACAACAACAGTCCCAGCTTCTCATTTCACCCTCTCTGCCACCAACCCATTTTACAGATTAGAAAACTGTGACTCGAGCAGGCTGGAGGGGACTGCCTTGACAAGCTCACTTGGATAGGCAGGGGATCCAAAACATTACCTAAATCCCACGATGTCATACTTTCTTGTTTTGGAATTTAGCCTAAGGTCAAACATCAAGGCTGGATCCCAAAATTTGTGTTTTGGAATGTCTGGCCCAGTGTTCACTTTAAGGGTAAAACAGTGGAAACAATGTCCAGTTCCGATTAGCTGAAGACATGAGGGGATGATGACGTCACTATTCAAAGTCAACCTAGCTTATTCCCCTGTGAAACATTAGGCAGTAGCAGCTCAACCTTCAACC